ATTATTTTGTGAAAGTGGCATTCTGCTCTCAACAATACCTTCAATTTTATTAAACATGAGTAATTTAATAAAAAGGAAAAACATTCCCTTGCATAGCAGCCGTTTCCTTTTCCATATACATGAACTGCACAAAACTTACCTCCCTTCCCTGGTTCTCACCTACTCACTGGTTCCTGGATTGGCTCCTCAAAATAACCCTCTAGTTGTTTCTTACAGAAATGTCTGAATTACAGTGCAGTTCTCAAACCGCCACCTCAGCAAAACCTTTCCCAGTGGGTCCTTGTTCCTTCTGTGTAAGCTTGTCTGGACGTAGGGCGAGACTGTGCTTCACTTAACCACATCAACGCTTAGCATGTAATAATTTAATAAGCATGTAAAAAAGTCTAAATGTGGTTCCCAAATTTGACCGCACATCAGAATCACGCAGAGTCCTGGGCCTCACTCTTGAACTATGGATCAGAGTCTCTGAGTGTGGACTCCTAAAATGAATAGACTTTACCAATCTTTTTAGTTATCTTTATTCTGTCACTGTCACTGCCCTCCCGTTGTTCATCGATTTGCTTCAGTGGGCCCAGTAACGTCTCCATCGGAGACTTTGTTGTTACTGTGTCTGGCATATCGAATACGTCACGGGGAGCTTGCCAGGCTCTGCCGTGCGGGTGAGATACTCTTGGTAGCTTGCCGGGCTCTCCGAGAGGGGCGGAGGAATCGAACTCGGGTTGGCCATGTTGGCTGCGTGCAAGGTAAACGCCCTACCGCTGTGCTAGACACTGCAGACTCGAAGTCAGTGGTGCATGGTGTTCATTTGCTCCCATCTTCTCTTCCATGGCCCTTTCAGACTTGCACCCATTTATGAGCATGGGATGTTTTCAAGTAGGATTCAGTCAGGCATTGCAACACATCCACTACAGTTGATACAAATTAAATGTTTACTCTTTGCCAGGCACTGTTCTAAGGGTGTTCACCCCAGGAGCCTCATTTTATCTTCACAACAAACCTCAGAGGCAAGTACTGTTCTTCCTAGTTTTAGGGATGAGAACTCAGATGCAAAAGTCTCCCATTTGTGGGGGTATGGTGACGCCAGCAGGTCAATTTATACCTGTGAGGCGAGTGCATCAGCAGCCTAATAGCACTGTCAGGCTTTCAGATACCCCAAAATTGCTGCTGTGCCTTTGGCCAGACCCCAAAAACTTGGGACAAAGTTTACCAAGAAAGTAAACCTGCCAAAAGTTAGGTATGTGGGAGACACACCACAAACCATCTCCGGCTCAGCTATATATAATTGGAGGCAAGGCCTCTCTGGTTCCTGATAGAACTGCTTAATGACCATTATCCCAGAGACTCAGAAATGAATCTCGAAACCCAAAAGCTTTTGGCAGAAATGCATCCTGTTCCTGCAGTAGGTTACTGGTGCTGGGCCACTCCAGGTGGGAATAGGTTTCGTGCTTGGCCTGTTCCCCTTGGCGGCCCGGTGACCACCATCCTCCAGAAGCCACTGGACAGTCAGGTTTGGGCCTGCGGTGACGAGACACACGGAGCCTCACCAGATAGGGGTGGAGCCAGCCCTTTCCTCCCCATCCCAGCGAGACCCCAAGTCGCCGCCTACAAATGGCCTTTCTGGTTCCTGATCAAGCTAATTAACGGCCATGATCCCAGAGACTCAGAAACGAATCTCGAAACCCAGCGCCTTATGGCAGAAATGCATATGGACTGCATACAAGGTGGCTGCCGCCTCAGAGCTTCTTGGAAAACCAGGTATGAGCCGGCGGTGACGGGGCAACTGCAGTCTCATAGGAAGGGAGGGGGGCGGCACTGGCTCGTCCTTCACACCCTACAAGGTCACAAGTTGCCCCCAATGAGTGGCTCTCCAGCACGGCCATGGCTCCAGAGGCAAAAGGACTTAGTCCAGAGCCCGGCAGCTTGCATCAGAAAAGTGAATGACCATGCATTAAACTACGGCGCCATGCTTCCTTGGGAGGGAAAGGGTGTTGCTCCCTTCCGTCTCCCCCTCCGCCCAGCAGCAAGGTGGCTGCTGCCTTAGAGCTTATAAGAAAGGCAGGTATGATCCGGCATTGATGGGGCAACTGCAGTCTCATGGGAAGGGGGGGGGGGGCGGTACTGGCTCGTCCTTCACGCCCTACCAAGGTCACGAGTTGCCCCCAGGAGTGGCTCTCCAGCACAGCCATAACACTAGACACACAGAAACCAATCTCATAATTATCTGGCTCTTTGCTGAAATCCAAAATCACGCAGTCGCTATTGTGGCCACAAGATATTACATGATTCTCATAATCAGCTATAGAAAAAAGGTATTTCACAATGCCTTTTCAGCAATTCTCATTATGGGGGGGAATTCTAAACAATAATGGTGCATCTTTTGTCAAAATAATATAATCAATGTAGAGAATAGTTAAGTGGAAATCATCTGCCTCACAGGCACCGGGAAGGGTGGGAGGGGGGTATATTGGGGTTCTCTGTGGTGAAACATGAGTACTGGTGAAGGGAGAGGTATTTGATCATTGTGTGACCGAAACTTAAACCTGAAAGCTTAATAACTTTTCCCACAGGAATTCAATAAATAAATATAAAAAAATAAAATTATGAAAAAAAAGATAAAGTTCATGCCCAATTCAGCTAATCAGTAGCTGAATAAATAGCAGTACTCCTACATTTAATAAAAGTCTCCCATTAGTCTAAGAATGAGATGAGTTATCTTGTAATATTCTATGTAATATTTCATATTTTTTACTTTCATAGCATTTACAGTAGTTACTGAAATCTTGTTTACCTCTCTCTTCCACGAGAATATAAGTTTCTAGACATACAAGGTTAAAAAAAAAACTATGCCGTACATATATTTGTATCTCCCAATATTTAGGACAATTCTTTTCAGTTATTGAACAAATAGATGCCTGACTGTTGAACCGTTCAATACAATGCGGTTTCTTTATAAGTGCCAAAAATTGTCATTTCTCCATGGTAGATCATCTAATTTGTGTTTTTGAAAATAAACAGTGAGGAGCAGGAATTATGTATAAGCAGATTAATAATCTAAGGATAAAACTACAATTATTGACAAATATCAACTTTCAATCTTCCCTCTCTTTTCAAATGGGCCCAAAGTACAACAATGTTGCCTGCTTCCTTTTTCAGTTCAGACCCTTGCCCTGCTCTTGGCTCCATATCCACCCAGATTCCCACCAAGTATCTGTGCATCCATCCATCCGCCCCATGAACAAGGTGGCAGACACGGAGGGTACAGTAGTCAATTAGGCTGAGTACCAATATTTAAAGAAATATCTAACAAAAAAAATCAAAAACTCCTTAAGTGTTTGTTACTGTTCTTATCCCCTATTTGAACAGAGGAAGAGTCTTTTATGCAATTAATGTACATTAAATTTTTCTAGACAAACTCTTTAGATCTTTCACACTGAAAATAACTGTGCTATCTCATGAACAATCTCTTTTACAAAGAAAAATTCTGCCCACTTTCTTCAGACTGAGACATACTAACTTGGAATTTAATTTTTCAGGTACTAAAAATGAAGTTCAACTACAAGAGCCTGAAGTTGGGTACATGAAGCTCAGGATCATGGAACGCACCTTTGGCAATGGTTCTGTCACCCTCAATACCCAGGTTGAGGTTACAATCTAGATGGAATACATTTGATCACTGACATCAATGAGTATGAGATGAACAATCAGATTGCAATACAATACTATTGCAAACAATAGTAATATTAAGTGTATATATTTAAAAACTCCAATTGCTATACAGACACTGCAGACAATAGTATTGCAAACAACAGTAATCTTTATTAAGTGTATATATCTTATAAATTCCAACTGCTATACAGACACTGCAGACTCGGAAGTCAGTGGCGCATGGTGTTCATTTGCTCCCATCTGCTCTTCCACGGCCCTTCCACGCACCCATTTATGAGCATGGGATTATGCCATATCTTACTCCTTAGTAGAGTAAGATAATCACATATGCCTTGATGTAAATAGGGTCCGTAGGAAGACCAACAGGGTCACCTATTTAAAAGGGACCAACCAGAGGTTTTGATGATCTGGCCCCTCATTACCTCCACAATATCCCAATCTTTTCAAAGGAGAAAAGGGGATCCAAGGCATCGAGTAAACAGGATGGATGGCTTGTGTTCTATCACTCCTCTATTTCATTCCCAGCGACAGGCTCTCTATCAAGGTCCATGGTGTGGATCAAGGAAGCCCCAATCAAAACTTTACTACAGAGGATCATCTCAGGATCCAAAATACCTCGAAGGTTTCTCTTACAATGCCAAGTCAATTCTTCTAATGACATGAGTACAAAGAAGTAAACACACATTTGAAATAATAAGCACAGAATCTTAGTTGGAAACTCCTTGTTTCTTTATAATAAAGTTTGTTGAAGACCTACAGGCTCCATTTGCATGGTATCCCCAAAGAAAGTTAACATAATTTAACATGAAAATTAGGCTTTGTCTGAAGTAATTTTAAACTTCTCAAAAATCTAGTAAATGTAAATTCTCTAAAAAAATACAATTAAAAGAGAGAATACATATAAATGAGATATAGTTAGCATTTTCAGTCAAAATTAAATATATTAACAATAAAACTCTGTGCATGTGAACACTTCAGTGAAATATGAAACAAAATATTTTTCTCCCTTTATTTTCAACAGTTGTTTATAATACCCATAGGGTGGAGGAGATGAAAAAAATTGCTAGTGTATAAGTAAATGTTCAGGAAAAAATTACCTCTTAGATATCCTTTCACTCAAGGTATTGTGAAATGCAAAAACAAACGCAATTAACAAATTTTATTAATTTGTCATCAAGTGATCATCACAAACTAAGTTATCTTAGTGTTACGCTGAATAACAATGGAATTCTGTAAAATGTTGAATCTGGGGGGGAAAAAAAACACCTAAAATTAAGTGACAGCAATTCACAATTATACTAAAACTTAAAGAATTAAAATGCATGATGCCAGAATTATCAATGTTCCTCCCCAATCTCATCACTTTGTCAAGTATAGTATATTTTTATAGTGATATTCCTTATAGCAAACAGTTTCATAAGCTGGAATAACTTTTGAGCAGAGTCTGTATCTAGCCATTAGTTCTTATTTCTTTGTGGCGGGGGCAGACCATTGGATGTATGAAAACAAGCGAAAGCTGTGTGGCTAATGTTCCCAATCTTTATCTTTCTACCTGCAGAAACTTTCAACCCGTTTACAGAAACCATATATTGCAGACTCTTACAATACTGAATCTCTGGATGTAGTTTTCAGAATCATTCTTTATTCCATTCTTCCTGTAATTTCAAACTGTTCCCTATAGGTGGTCTAGAGTGTGAGTTTCAAACATGTGCTATTAATATGCCCAAAACTGTGGCTGCAAAAAGAAAAAAAAGCATTACTTGAATTCTAGTGTATTTTACTCATAATATTACAAATATAATTTCTGTGTTCAAACGTGATATAAAATAATTTGCAAAACTATCTCCTTGATGCCTGCAGATGAATACACCTACAGGTTTTAAGGAATGTAATATTTACTGATGTTAAAACTGCTTTATTAAAACAATTTTACCACAGGGCTATAACCAATGGATAATAGTACAGAGATGTTTATAACTAGTTTATTAATAAACATCTCGAAAGGGTGGAAATTGTACTCCTAAAGTCTCCATTGAGAAATAAGACAAAACAACATATAGTGAGTACATCTCAATCTGGAACTGGGCAGGCTGCTGGTGAAAGAACAGGTTTCCAAGTAGTGTGACTACTGCCATCTAGGAGTCAGTTATGTGGTCTACTGGGGGGAATGATGGTGGAAGGGGACATGGAACCATAGGAGCAGAGACCCTAGTGGGAAGGAAGGGGCCCAAGAGAATATCAGGTTTCCCATCTAGACACTGAAGATTAGCCCAGCTGAGTCAAGACCAGAGACACTGATCTGGGATCTCTAGATTCTGCTCCTATGATAGAGGAAATGAGAAACTGGACAGGACCAGAGTTCAACCTAAGATACTTTCTGTTCCTAACATCAACAACAAACTGCAAGTCAGAGACACCTGCCAGCTGGAATAAAAGTGTCCCATCCGATCCAAGACCCCAGAATACTTACCAGACAATTGGGATGTGCTGTGCATGTCTGGCCCAACACAGAATTGCAGTGCTGAGGAAGAAACTTTGAGGTTCTGGGCATGGCTGATGGAAAATGAATAGACATGTTCTGATTTGTTACTGCAGCTGCATCGTAAGAAGGGATGCCTTTAGAATAGGAACTGACAGAATGGAAGGAACTGAGAGACAGAGCTGGGCTGGGGATGAGTGTTTTAGACATATCTCCAACAGAAGTCTCTGCAGTGGAGCTGGACTGAGCTTTAACAAAAAAAAAAAAAAAAAAAGAAAACATCTGTCAGCATACACAAATCTGCAACCGAGCTACTAAATGCACGTGCAATCAATGGCTCTCTACTCCATCCCCTCCTACTATGAACTTACACTCATACTGCTGGAAAACAAAGCACAGTTTTCTGCAGTGTTCTTATTACTCTGCAGGCTGGGAGTGGATAGATCTTATACCATGAGAAGACAGAGTATTTAGAGGAGTATCAGATCTCTGTGCAGCTGGCATGGGTGGTTTGTTGTGTTGCTTTCTTGGGTCATACCCAGAGATGTTCAGGGCGACTCCTGACTCTGTACTCGGAATTACTCCTGGTGGTGCTTGGGGGACCATATAGGATGCCAGGGATCCAACCTGAATCAACCGCATGCAAGGCTAATCCCTACGCGCTGTACTATTGCTCTGGCCCTGGGCACGTGTATTTTTGATCATAATTAAAACAGGGATCAGCCTGACAAAGCAAGAAATATTATAAAAAAGGTTTTTCAGTCACAATAAGGTTAGCTGATCAATAAAGTGCCTCATATTATTACACATCTACACTCTGCAGAATAACCAGAAAATTTTTAAATATATAATCTTTATATATTTTTTTCTTTTTTTATAATTTATTTATTTATTGAATCACTGTGGGAAAAGTTACAGAGCTTTCGGGTTTAGGTCTCAGTCATGTAGATACCAAACACATTTCCCTTTACCAATACTCATTTTTAACCCCGAACCCCAATAGACCCCCACCTCCCACCCCTCCCAATTCTTGTGAGGCAGATGAGTTCTAGTTAATACTCTATCTACTTTGACTAGATAGATTATTTCGATAGAAGATGCACAATTATTGTTTAGAGTTTAGGACCCACCCACCCCCCCCCAATCAGACATGCTGAAACAGCGTTGTGAAATGATTTGCTTTCTACAACGTGGTTTAAGAATAAAATGATGTCGCGCGGCCGCTATCGCGGCCGCGCGGTTTTGAATTTCTGCTATTTTCCTTATTGACCCTGGAAGAATTTCTATTAAAAGTTAGCTAGTTAAGAGATTGGTTTCTGTGCCCTGGAGTCGTGGCCGTGCCGGAGAGCCGCTCGTGGGGGGCAGCTGGCGACCTCGGTGGGGCGTGGGGGACGGCCCACAAAGCCCCCCTTCCCATGAGGTCCCCGCCGCTCCCCTGAGCCCGGCTCAAGCCTGCTTTCCACAAGGCTCCCGTGCGGCCGCCATCTTTCTTTCCAGAGAGGAGCGGGCGGGCTGGTCAACGCCCTTCCCCCTCCGGGCAGGCTTGGTGGCGCGGATCAACACAAGTCCATTTGCTTTTCTGCTCCAAGCGGCTGGTTCTCTGTGCTAAGTCCTTGTGCCTCCGGGGCCGTGGCCGTGCCGGAGAGCCGCTCGTGGGGGGCAGCTGGCGACCTCGGTGGGGCGTGGGGGACGGCCCACAAAGCCCCCCTTCCCATGAGGTCCCCGCCGCTCCCCCGAGCCCGGCTCAAGCCTGCTTTCCACAAGGCTCCCGTGCGACCAGCCCGCCCGCTCCTCTCTGGAAAGAAAGATGGCGGCCGCACGGGAGCCTTGTGGAAAGCAGGCTTGAGCCGGGCTCGGGGGAGCGGCGGGGACCTCATGGGAAGGGGGGCTTTGTGGGCCGTCCCCCACGCCCCACCGAGGTCGCCAGCTGCCCCCCACGAGCGGCTCTCCGGCACGGCCACGGCCCCGGAGGCACAAGGACTTAGCACAGAGAACCAGCCGCTTGGAGCAGAAAAGCAAATGGACTTGTATATAATCTTTATAAATATGAATATTTATAATGTAATCTCAAATAACACAGCAAATTCTTTCTGTACATTAGTAAGAATGAAAACATCATTTGTTCCTTTGTGGTAGGGCCCATACCCAGCAGTGCCCAGTGGCCATTCCTTGCTTTGTGCTCAGCGTGACTGCTGGCCAGTGCTCAGGTGACCATATGTGGTGCAAGACTGGGAAACCAACCAGGACCAAGGTGAAGGAGCTGCTTAGAAGGCAAGTGCTTGCCTTACGAACTAGCCCAAACATAGCACAAGTATTACCCTACTTAAATATATCCCTATTATTTGTGAAAAATATTTTCACAAATGCACAGTGCACAGCAATTTATAAAAAAAAAAAAAGAAATGGGAAGGCAATACAATGACATCGTAACAAGGACTGCTTCGTACAGGCTGACTTCAGCACAGAAACCTGGGGGCTGTTTAACTTCTCCAGTCTTCAATTTACTAATATAGGTGATGAAAGTGTAATATCCAACACATGATTTGAACTGCTCCAGTCTTTCAAACACAATACAGCAACATACATTAGAAGAATTCACATTCTCTAACTTACTTGTTGCATACTTCAAGTATCTGACCCCCCAAAAAATCCAAAAAATAAAGTGAAAAATATCTATTACTACAGAATCACTCTTTCTACAAAACTGGAAATACAGAGACTGGCAAAGAAAACAATTCTATAAAATATCTGACACACTACTGACAACAGTGAAATGATGGTATGGCAGCTGCTCAGTAAAAATTGAAAGTCACTGTCACTGTCCTCCTGCTGTTCATCGATTTGCTCGAGCGGGCCCAGTGACGTCTCCATTGTCACAATCGTTACTCTGTTTGGCATATCGAATACGTCACGGGGAGCTTGCCAGGCTTTGCCATGCAGGCGAGATCCTCTCGGTAGCTTGCCGGGCTCTCTGAGAGCGCCGGAGGAATCGAACTCGGGTTGGCCATATTGGCCACTTGCAAGGCAAACGTGCTACTCGCTGTGCTATTGCTCCAGCCCTGAGATAAAATGCAGGAGGCAAACTTGGCTGTCCAATATAATTCTACTACTGTAGCAAAGCACACACACACAAAAGCCTGAAGACAACATATAAAAACTGAAGTTGTCATTTTAGCTGAATTAATAACAGACTAATACTGCTTTTCAAGTACAAACAAAAGTGTCTATGAATAAAGTGAAAATAAGTGTTTGGACCTCCAAGGCATCCTTCGGTCTGCAGAGGCTCTGTGGTCCTCAGAAACCCGTGTCTCCCCAAGAACAATCCCTTTAGGTGCTGCAATACCAAGAGAGACAGGGGCAGCGTCCTGAATTCACTACCATGAAGAGAGATCACAGTTTCTGCAGAACGTAAATGGCGAGAATGCACAAGCATTGCATTTAAAATGAGCAATATGGACAGGCAGATATATACCTGTAGCTGGGTTTCCATCTAATTTCATCTGGGTGGAGCTGGTCAACCCCCATGACATACAGTCACAGCTAACTGAGGATATTAACCACGATGGCTACTTTTCCTCCTATCCATCCGAAGCCAGAAGAAACATTTAAACTGATGTATGAAAACGTCCCAAGGCTGTGTTTGTTTTATGAGCAAGAAGGCCAAACTCTTTTTGCACTTCTTCCATTTTAACTTCAGAATGCCTTCCTCGGTAACTTCACACATGCCCACAGCTTCCACTATAAATCCACGACATACCTGGCATCTCTCAAAATACTGCAGTAACTGTAGTATGCTTTAGGACTCTAGATTGAAAACTTCCCTAAGAATATGAACTGTGTCTCATTTGTTATGTGTCCTCATCTTTGCAGCAAGGGCACTTAAGCTGAGAACTCAAGAACGAGCTGGAAGTTAAGCGGGACCATCTTGAGAAAGTGCTGGGCTGAGAGTAGAAGTCCCCCAAGAAGTCAGCAGAGGGAGAGGGAGGTGACCTGTCGTGTAGCATCCAGCATATCGGTCAGCAACCCCCAGCGGGTTTCTCGGCACAGTGGCCTTAGGAAATACTGGGAGTACATACTGGGAGCTCATCCTTTTTACTGTTTGCATCTTCTATTTCTAGAAGTTCTAGGGCACGCTTAGACATTAACATGAGTAATAAAAACGCTTCACACTGGGTGAACACTGGCTTTACAATGAAGTCGTATGATGAAGGTTTCCTTTCAGTTTTGGGGCTTGGGTGCCAGGAATTGACTGAACCCAGGTAGTCACACATTCGCAGCAGGTGCATCCCCATGCACCACATGGTTAACCCCATAAATCTTTCTTGATAACCTATGTGTGGTACTAGAAATACAGTAATGAACAGGCAAAAAAAAAATAAGAGTTCACAGGCTAGTTGATGGGTGATAACATTTGCAAATAAAGAATGATAGATGGTAATAAGTGCTGTGAAGAAAAATACAGAAGAAAGGGAAAGTTTGTGCCGCTGGGAAGGAATATGCAGTCTTAATTGGGTGGCTAAAACTTGATGAGTCTTTTTAAAAATTTTTTATTAGTGAAACACCATGAGGTACAGTTGTAGACTTACACAAATTTTTGTGCTTGGGTTTCAGTGATACAATGATCCAGTACCCATCCCTCCACCAGGGCCCATTCTCCATCATTTACATTTTTTTCTAAATTTTTGTTAGTGAAACACCATGAGGTACAGTTGTAGACTTACAAATTTTTGTGCTTGGGTTTCAGTTATACAATGATTGAGTACCCATCCCTCCACCAGTGCCCATTCTCCATCATTTACATTTTTTAAAAAATTTTTTTAGTGAAACACCATGAGGTACAGTTGTAGATTTACAGATTTTTGTGTTTTCAGTTATACAATGATCAAACACCCATCCCTCCACCAGTGCCCATTTTCCATCATCACGGGTCCCAGTATCCCTCCCCCCCAACCCCCCCCATCTCACCCTGCCTCTTTGGCATTTTAAACAAATTTTAAAATTTTATTTTCATAAAGTTGTTCAGAAACTTGATGAGTCTTGAGCAAAAACATGATGAAAGCAAAGAGACTGATCTGTGAAGTGCTCTGAGCACAGTACTGAGTCAACATGAATATTCCCCTTCCCTTCAGATCCTCTCCATACAATAAAGTCACCAGTATGCTTCCTGTCCATAAGGAGAGCCTCTGGTAATGTAGACCAATTCGGAGTCCACTTTGACTTGGGGCTCTGTGCTCAGGGATCACGCCTGGTGGGCTCATGGGACCATATGGGGTACTGGGAATCAAACTCAGGTCTGCTGTGGGCAATGTAAACCTCCGCGCAAGCCCCCACTTTTAGGGATAAACTATTTCAATGCCTATGGCCACTTGAGAATGTCCAGCTGATGGCACCAGGGCTCCGGGAGCTATGTCGCAGCAGTGCTCTCTCGCTGGGCACAGGAGCCGGGGGGGGGGGGGGGGCAGAGGGAGGGGGGCACTGGCACATGGGCCCAGACACACGACACAGCATGTGCAGTGGGGTGCTCACCTCTCACATCTTCCTCCAAGGGGTCCCCTGAGGCAGGAGCAGAGAATTTGTTCAAGCAATTCTCAGCCAGGAATCTGACCCCTCTCGCAGGCGACGGAGAGCTTGTCAACACACTGTCCTCTCTTAAGAGGAAAGAAAAAAATGCACATTTCTCAAGGACGATAATACGAGCACTGTGGGATTCAACTGGTCTTCTACCATTCAAGCTTTAAAAATGAACAGGGCTGAAATTGCATTCTTTAAGTATATGGTTGCTCAAAATGACAGACTAAGTGATGATGGAAGGAAATTCATGATTATTCTTTAGGACTGATTGCTTTTCTGTTCTAAGTCTATCTTTGCTTATATAGTCTAATAAATTGAGATAAGGGTACATTTCTGTGGCATGTTCTAATTTAATGATTTCCTTAAGAATGCTGAACTGAAACAGGCTGGAATGCTGTAGGGCTTGTGACCTCATGATGGAAATTGCTAGAGTCCTCTGTGCCCCCATGGATGGCCACAATCTAGTCAGCACCAGAAAAAGCCCCATTTGAAGATCCTCCAAAACCACAAAAGAAAAGACGATCAATGAAAGAAGGATCATGGGGCCTGAGGACATTACCTTTTTATTACTATATAAAATGATGCATACTGGCAGAGGGAAGCAGCTCACCGGTTCTCTAACAAATACCAATGTTTTTCGTATGTGGTCTGGAGCCTGTCTACACATCCAGAACAGACTGGGAAGAAGCAGCGGCTGACTTCTGTCCGTACCTTCGTGCCACAATCCTGCTGGCCAGAGAGCGCTGCCCGGGAGCCTGCTGTTTCTTACAGAACCTTAGACTGCTCTGAAGCGCTTCTGTAATCTTAGAAACAGAAGATCTAGCTATAATTTGCTTTAATCTTTGCGAACACACATAGAGTTCCAAGACAAAAAGTAGCAATGAGAAATGTAGCTTTAAAGTGTGTTTCTTAAGAGTGGCCGAGATTAGAACCAGGAATTTTGCTCCATGGCTTGGAGGCCAGCCACACATGCTAGGGGAAAAGGGAGGTCAGACAGAAAGGGAGCACCAAATAAAGGGTGTTGGGAGGATCCTCCCAGGATGGAAGAAGCATGCTGAAAGTAGACTATAGACCAAACATGATTGCCACCCATTGCCTCTTTTGCAAACCACAACACCCAAAAGCAGAGAGAGAACAAAAGGGAATGCCCTGCCACAGAGGCAGGGTTGGGTAGGGAAAGATGGGGGAGTGGGAGGGATACTGGGATCATTGGTGGTGGAGAATGGGCGCTGGTGGAGGGATGGGTACTCGATCATTATATAACTGAAACCCAAGCACAAAAATTTGTAAGTCTACAACTGTACCTCATGGTGTTTCACTAATAAAAAATAAATAAATAATAAAAATACTATAAACAACTACGTGAGCATTCTAATGTCTTTTCAATAAGTACATCAAAATACTGATATCTAATGACGAATTTAATATGTTTAAATTTATTAAAAATTGTCAAAGTATTTCCCACAGAAAGTACACTATTATATATTCACACTAAAATATTTTTATGTTACACTTTATCATGTGTTAGTAATAATCCTTGTGTTTTATTTTTTTATGCTAAATAAGAACTTCTCATTTTTGTTGAAGAACACCAGGTAGCTAAGTTCCTGATGACAATGTTTGAAATTGAGTCTCTAGAAAATGGGAACTTTATGATCTTAGTAATACACCTTCCTGATTTATTTTCTTCCTTTCTTAGGCTTGTGTCAAATAAAATATAGTCACTAAAAGAAAAAAAAATTATCCTCAATGTCCACATTAACAGCAAAACTAAATAAGTAGCTTATTTAGGGGGCTTGAAATGTTAAAAAAAAATCTTACCCAATCTTTTACTTACTAAATATTAAACTTAGCAATCAAATACAGGTTTGCCTGATTCTAAAGTCTTTTCTCTTGACAATATGTTCTCCTAAAGTACTTGCAAACAGCTTTTATCCCTGTTAGTAAGATGAACGTTAAACAGCCTTCCATATAATTTTTTTTCTTGCTTAGTGAAAAAAAAAATAAAGTGTGTTTGATAAGGATAAAATCCAGGGGCACAAGGGTTCCATACCTGCTCCATGAGGGCTGGAGGGGTTTTGTCCCGGACGTACTTTACATACTCAACTGTTGCCTCCAGGATGGACGCCATGTCATTTTTTCTCCCTTTTACATATGGCAACAGATTGCGCAGCTGTTCATAGCAATACTTGATACGTTCTCTGAGAAGAAAATTTTCATAAGGAACAACCAGTTTCATCTGATGTCCTGTACCATCCTGGGTTTATGTAGAAACCCCCCCCCACACACACACACACACACTCCATCTAGTCACCTCCTTAGAGGAAGGTGGGGTCCCCCAAAGTTTGTACCTCCCAGTGTCTGGAAGCAGTTTCCTGGTGTGTCTGCACACAGTGCAGCCAAGGACAGTGCTGACAGCCCTACGTCACTGTCCCCAGGCCTGTCCAGGGTGCAGGATACAGCTATGGCAGAGAGCAAAGATCCCAGCAGCCTGCAGACACAGCTTCAGCTGAGAGGATCAGGCACACGCTTGAGCACGCTCTCTCACTCTCTCTCTCTCTCTCTCTCTCTCTCTTCCTTGCTCGCTCTTTCTTGCTTTCTCTCTCTCCCCCTCTCTTCCTTCTCCTGTCTCTCATGTATCTCTCAGTATATATAAATATGTATACATTTTGGATAATGTATATAAGAGAATACAAGCAAGTATGTTAAAACCAAAAACAACATTATCCATCCCTCTCGGAGAGCCCGGCAAACTACTGAGAGTAAACACACGGCAGAGCCTGGCAAGCTCCCCGTGGCATATTCGACATGTCCAAAACAGTAACAACATGGGTCTCACTCCCCTAACCCTGAAAGAGCCTCCAATATGGCAGTGTTGGGAAAGACGGGTAAAGAGAGGCTTCTAAAATCTCAGGGCCGGGATGAATGGAGACATTACCTGCACCTGCTCGAGCAAATCAATGAACAATGGAATGACAGTGGTACAGTGATACATTTTGGACACTGGTGCTCAAGAGGTTGGAGAATGCAGTTCTACTCAGAGCCTCCAGCGCTGGGGATTACGCAGAATGCCTAGCAGGCAAAGAGCAGTCAGGATATTCATCATGACCTGAATCCTTTTTCCAATAACTGACTAGTGAGCATCTTGGCATACATGGGCACCCATAATTGTGCGTTCTGAATCACAGGAAACCCAGAGACTGCCTCTTTACATGAGATAGGTATGGGTAGGAAAAAAGAAACCAAACAATGTCCTGCCTACTTTCAGGGAAAAACAGCAACTTAAAGTCTTTTATAATTTTAATGGAAACACATAGGAAATATATAAATATATATTGATCTAAGCCTTTGGTTTAGCTAAGCCTTCATTTACCTTTGTGGGTCTTTAATAAACATGACTGAGCACCTGTCTTGTGCTGAAAACTGTCTTGGCATATAGAAGTTCACAGCATTCTGCAAATACTAGTTACTAATCTCTTCAAGTCCCATATTGGTAAAGGAATAAAATGATGATTAAAAGTTTGCTATATGCCACTAAGTAACTGAACTATTCAAAGTAGAGTTATCAATGGGATGTGTGGAACTCTGGAGATTCTGTTGAGATGTCTCATAGACTATTGTGGGGAAAAGAAATGGAAGAAATAAACTCTAAGTATAAAGGGCTTTGAAGCTTTTCCCACCTTTTGAAATACTTCTTCCAAGGATATAAAAATATATCCAGTTCATTAGTTAGATATAAAAACAATCTAAACACAGAGTGGATACTTTACTATACATAGCTCAGAATAATATATCATGTCCTAGTAGAAATGAGCTAGTATCAACTCTTATGGAAAAAAAAGCGTAATATTTTTCTAGGATATAACTACAATTTTATCAATCATTACACGAAGTAAAAGTAAATTTTAAAAAATTATTTATATTTTTTATTGATGGTTACTGCTGATGGTTGAGCTAAGGATATTATTTCCATTGCTAATTTTCTATTTTTTCCAAATATCTCTTGCTAACAGTCACATTTATAATGATATATCACATTAAACCTTTTCCAATGTTAATTAGAAAAATGTCAAAAAGAACACTGAACAATGTAGAAAAGTCCTTAATTTCCTCTGGGGGAATGGGGACGGAATTTGGGTTAAACTCAGCACGCTCAGGGGGACTGTGCAATGCTGGGAATCGAATCTGGACCTTTAGCTTGCAAAGTGTCACTCTAGCCTGCTGAGGTATCTCTCCAGCCCAAGAACTCTAAATTCTTAAACAATGAAAGAACAACTACATAGGAACACCCATATATTTACAACCTAGAGTCCTTCGCAAACATTAATGGTATTTGTCCCAGATGATCATCCCACTGGTCATGACAGAATGAATATCCTTACTTTGTTCCAGATCTTTTCAAGGCACTGATAGCTACAATTTCATCTTTAAATGTGTCGGATACATGTTTTTCCCAGATGTTCTTATCTAATTTGCTGGAAGGTTGCATTTTATACTGCCTAATAATTTTTCAGATTTGTTCATTACAAGTGAACGTTAAAGATGTTTGACCTCTTTATTTGATGTAGTGTAGAAAATAATATTCATTTATCAAGCAATGAATTTCTAGATTAAACTGGTAAGGCTGTGATGCATTATATCTTTATACATTACTTGATTCAATTTACTATCTCTTCAGTCCATCTCTTATATTTAAATGCTTACAAGAATCCGAGATAACAATTCCTCTTTTGTTTTTACGATATTCTTAAAATATTTTCAGTCTCTGGCCTATCTGCTCCTCTTCTTCTATTCATCCCAGACCACACTGTTTGCTGTCTTCTTAGGATGAGCCCGGGTGGCACTGACTTCCAGGTCTTTCAATGTTTTTGATATAACCACTTAAAGCCACATTATTTCCCCTAGGATTTGCTTTAGTTGCCTCTCACATTTTTAAATACTCCATTTCATAACCACTCAGTTTGAAACATTTTCTATTGTTTTTGTGTATTATTTTTACCTATGAATTACTTAGAAATGTGTATTTTAATTTCAAAATGTCTTATTTTTCTTTCATATCTAATTTTGCTGGTTTCTAATTTAATTCTGTTGGATTAAAAAAGATATTCCTTTTGAATACGACTTTTAAATATACTGAAACATATCGCATCATCTAGCATGCAACTTAAGTGAACACGCACTGTACCCTGGTTAAAAAAAAAAAGAGTATTATTCTGAAGTATTATTCTATAAATACCTTCAAAATCAAGGTGGTGATTAGTGTTCACATCTATATCTGACTGATTTCTGGGTGCCTTTCTGTTTCATCAGATGCTGCAAGAGGAATGCTAACTCTTTAACATTGCAGATATTTTTAATTGTGTGAGACTTAATTTGGTCCTTTTGCTTGGAATAAATAACCACAATCTATCTGTAATTGTTTTATCATTCTGATAAGTTGACACTTTCATCATTATGAAATACTACTGATTACTTCGAGTGATACTGTCTGTTCTAAGGTCTATTTGAAAAGAAGACAGTCAATCAGGTATTCTTATACTTACTTTTCCATATATATGTACATGTAAAATTAAATATATACAGCTCTGCATTGATTTTCATTGCCATGTATTTGTATTTAAAGTTGGCCTCATATAAGCAGCAGATAACTGTCTGTTTTATTATTTTCTTTAATCATTCTGGTAATTCCCGTCTACAAATTGAATATAGTTAAAGTCCTACCATATTTGTTGTTTTGGGGCCACACATGCTGGTGCTCAAGGATTACTCCTGGCCCTGTGCTCAGGGATCACTTCTAGCAGGACTCAAGGGACCACATGCCAGGTATTGAACCCGGGTCGACCCTATGTAAGGCGAGTACCCCACCAGCTATATTATTGCTCTGGCCCAAAGTTCTACCATTTTCAAGTAATCTCCTTGATTTTTTTTGGTTTTCCCTTTCCTATTTTCTTTTAGAATAGTTTTGATTCGTGGGACCACTTTTGGCTATTTTCAGGCCTTACTCCTAGTTCTGTGCTCAGGGAGCACTTCTGGTGGGTTTGGGACATCATATGGTTGCCAGGAATCAAATACAGCCATCTATGTGCAAGGTAAAGTGCTTACCCAATGTACATTTCTCCTGAATAATTTTTAACATTTGGTTTTGTCTATTAATTCTGCCTACTGACTGGTTACAACTGTTGCCTACCTTTTATCATTAATCTAGGAATTACAACCTCTATCTGTAACTTTTTACTGTCTATTTAGATTTCATATTTTAAGAAATAACCTATAATATAAATGCTGCATCATAAAAGAACATTTATCTCATTCATACTTCATGTTACAGTTGACATATGTATTACATTTGTGCAGATAATTACAAACTCCACAATTCAACATTATAAACTTTGATGAAAGATGGTTGAGGCATTTTAAATGAAAGAAAGGGTAAAATGTTTGTTCTGAACCTGTATACTACTTTTGATGCTAACCAGTCTTTTCTTGAGACAAGAAGTCTCATTTGTTCTTATTTTCCTTCGGTATAGAGAGTTTCCTTACCCTTTAGGTCTGCTGGTGTCAAAATATCTATGATGTCTTTCATCTAAAAATGTCTATATTTAAATGTTTGCTGTTGGGAAATCATAACTGATGTAAACATAAGTTGCACAACGCTTAGGGCACCAGACATGATAAATATGGTGATATATACAAAATGGTTTCCTAATTTGTTGGCATCTTAAAAAAAAATCAATAGTGTGTATCAATCTGATAGACCTGGAATGGTTGTGTCTGCCGCTAAGGTCGCCTCTACAGGAATAAAGGTAGAGAGTCCCCACACTTTCTGTTTGGTTGGGACAGACAAGACTGAATGGATGGGAATGGAAGAAAACTAGAAATACTCATCAAACATAGAAAGATCATTTCTGCAACCCAGAAATAGCAGTGAGCAATGAAAAGTCAATTTTCCTTACAATATTAAATGAAATAAAAATAATACAGATCAAAATTACTAATCCTTATTCATAATTTCTTTCCTGAAGAGATAAGGGTCCATTTCCACTTATTTTGAATCTCTGCTGGCCTGTGCCTGCTTTGGGTAAAAGCTTTCAGAAGAGCCTCTACAGAAGTTATACTCAAGAAGAGGTCACTTCAGTGTTAGGGTCCTGAAATCCTGAGCTGTAATATCAAAGGTCTGTCCAGTTTGCTGGAAAGATGACTCCACTCGCAAAGAAAACAAAAGCAGCAATAACAAATGAAACTACACCAAACTAAACAGATTCTGAAGAGTGAAGAAAAGATGCCCCAAATAAAAGGACACTGCTAACAAATAGGAGAAAATGTTCACACACCACATGCCAGACAAAGGATACATAAAACATTCACAAACTTCAACAAAAACAATTCAAGCAATCCTATCAATGGGAAGACAAGTAGGACAGATACCTCTTAGTGATGTGACGTGGAGAAGATGGGCACACTTTATAAGGCTTGATGGGAAGAGGAGCAGGACAGACACTTCTCAATGATGACTAAAGCTTGATAAACAAGCATTTGAGAGAGTGCACATCATTACTGAGCATCAAGGAAATGCAAACCAAAACGATGAGCTGCCACCTTACATCAGTGAAAATGCCCAGCAGAAAGAAGACCGAAAACAGCTCGTGTTGGTGGAGATGTGGTGACAAAAGGATTCTCGTTCACTGCTGTTGGGATTGTAAAGGTTCAGCCTTTACAGAAGACAGAGACTTCTCAAATATCAAAAATCTTTTACTTGCTAGTATCTCTCAAGAAAAACTCTAAAGGTCCTCGTAATAGTTTTCACTTTTGGAAAAGAAATATTTCTAGATCTTTAATGCCACAGGGATAGAGTGGCCTTCTGATTTTACATTTTTCTCAACTATTAAAACTAAAAAATCAAAACCTGAAATCTTATGATTCCAGAAAAAATGGCCGACATTAGATCTGAACATGAAAAGTAATGAAAGAAAGCTACTATTTTCCAATACCACTCTGTGATAACTATTTACTAATACCACTGTAATTTTAGCACAAAATAAATTACAGAGAACATAATCATTTTTTGTACTTTGTTTTCAGAAGAACTATTTTTATTTCCAACAAATCCTTGTAAGGTGTGCCCACTATCTACATTTTATATATTAATAAAAACAGATGATAAATGGAGTCATGCAGTCCAAACTCAATGCACTAAAGGCACAGGCCAAGATGAATACCGGGACGTCTTTGATCTGAGCCTAAGACGTTTTGAAAGAACCTAATCTTAGAGCATAAACTGTATAATTATAGCTTCTCTTACTCATCAAATCTTAGCTCATCAAATCTGTGGGATAACACATTTCCTTTGGACAAAACCCATGAATGAAGGTATGTTGACCAGACTAGCCCATCTTCTAGCACCTTTTGCCAAGTTCCACAAACCCACCATCTTCCAGCTAATCTTCAGCAGATGATGGAGACCATTTGGCAGAACTTGCTCAATTTTTTTCCCCTCACTGAGTTCCATTCAAAGGGCTCAACTTTCTAACCACATTTAGATTCTGATCCTCTGCATGTTGGTGGACATGATATTCTTGCGTCTAGTTCTAAATTCCATGGCCTCTGCCTCCTCAGAAATGGCTATATCTGTCACCAACCCTTTCAACAGCTGTAGGGAATTAACATTCCTGGACATTCATCTCACTGAGGTGGGGTCCGCGCACACTCCCACTGGATCTGATTAGTCTCTGACTGCTTTGACCAACAACATATGGCAGAAGTGGCTCTTGGCCAGATTCCGGTCCTAGGTCTTAGGAGGCTGAAAGCTTCTTTTCTGTACCTCAGGGAGCCTTATCTCTAGCAGCTCTGGGCTACCTGGTTAAGAAAAAGTTCAACCCCAGGATGACTACACTAGAGAAGTACCAGTTGACAGTCCAGTCCCATCTGAGCTCGGCCTTCCAGTCATCCATGTGCTTCAGACATAATACCTTGGATCTTTCTGGTTGGACTGTCACTGAATATTAGCAAGAAATGTCAAGCAGGAAAAACTGCTGAGCCAAGCCCAGCCCAAAATGTGAAAGCATAAAAAAACCCTAGGTTAATACTGGTACTTTATAAATTTTAATTTGGAAATTTGCCAAGTTGAATTTTTTGTTTTGTTTTGGGGCAACACCTACAATGCTCAGGGGTTACTACTGGATTTGTATTCAGTAATCATTCCTACAGTGCTCTGGGGACCATATGGGATGTTACAGATTACACCAGCTGGCCATGTATAAAGAAAGAGCCTTACTATGTCTCTAGTTCCCACTAAGTTGAATGTCAAAAATTAAATACAACTGTTACAAAGTTCAACTTAAGTTGTTAATATTTAAAATACAATATAAATAAAACCATGTGTGTATCTTCAAGACTCCTCCCTTCCTTGAGGTTGGAGTGATAGTTCAGTGAGTAGGGTGCTTGCCTTGCATGCACTGGCCCAGGTTCAATATCCAGCATCCCATATGGCCCTCTGAACCCACCAGGAGTGATTCCTGAGCATAGAGCCAGGAGTTATCCCTAGAAACCACTCGATGTGACCCCCAAAGAAATACAACCAAAAACAAACAAGAAACCAACAGCAACAAAAAGACTTTTCTCTTTCAGCTTGTTTTCTCTTCAAATATAAAGATGAATATTCAAATCTGGCCTCGTCTCATCAAGATGTCTAATTTTTCTCTAACCCCCCCTTCACATGGCATACATCTTCTCCTTTTCATCTATCTCCCATATTTGTCATTTTTATCAACTTTTGGCAATAGGGAGCTTTCCCTTAAAAGTTCAAATGAAATTACTTTTGACAAGATCAGCAAGGTTCAGGTTTTGCTATACACAAATACTTTATTATTTGCTAATACCTTATTTGATCTCTGTGTCACTCTTTGAGACTCATCCCTTTAGAAGTTTCTCTATCCCCATCTCCCCCATACACTCCCTCAAGATTTTCTTCTTATCTTCCTCAAAACGTTTTCTTCTGATCTCTCTTCTGTTCCCTGTTGCCTAAATGTTGAGATTTCCTTTCGGGCAGTTTGATCCAATTGTATCTTCTCTACTTTTTTTCAGGTATTGCATCTAACCCTACAGTCACTGTGTCAGGTAGATGCTATGTTCTGATAGTTCTAAATCTAGATTAGATCTTTCTCTAGAATCTATGGGTAAACTCCTCCTCAGGCAGCTCCATCTAAACCTACAGATATTCAAATTCAACAAGAGCAGAAATATTTCCCACTACAAGATTATCATTTCATTCCACATCATAGGTAGTCCTGGTTCCACCACCTACTTGGAAATTATACTCAACTCCTGCTTCAACCATATTCTACCAATTCCACCTACTAAAATTATCTAGAGCAGGCTTATTTCTCGCCGTCCCATTAACACCTGTCACTGTCACTGTCCTCCCGTTGATCATCAATTTGCTCAAGCGGGCCCAGTAACGACTCCATTGGAGACTTTGTTGTTACTGTGTTTGGCATATTGAATACCGCAAGGGTAGCTTGCCAGGCTCTGCCGTGCGGGCGAGATACTCTCCCATGTCTCACAATTTCATTGCAGACTCCACTGGTCTCCAGGTTCAATTCACTCTCTTATTATCCTGCCCTGGTCTTCAGTTTAAAGTAAAATATGGTCCTATCACACCTTTGCTAAATCCTGCAGTGCTTCCCTAGAAATTCAGGCTGAATTTCAAATTACTTAACATAATATACCCTGTCCTTACCAACTATCTCCCATCTAAGAGCCAAGTTAATTATCTGCAGTTCCACAAGTTCACTGTTTTCTTGTGTTGTTTTTGTTTGTTTTGGGCCATACTTAGTGGTGCTCAGGGATCACTCCAGGTAGAGCTCAGCGGACCATATGTGGTACCATGGATTGAACCCAGACCAGCCATATGCAAGGTAACTACTCCACCTGTATTTTTCCAGGCCCTGTTTTCTTATGTTATCAGGCTTTGTACCTATTAGTCTCACCATATGAAATATAAATAGGTTCCCTGACTTCCAAATCAAATTAATTGTGACTTTTTTGTTTAAACTGCAATTTAGCTATCCAATGAAATTTCTCAGAAAACCTCCTATTCCCTCATTATGTCTTAAACAACTTTCCAGGTGGTACTGTGTTCTTCAGCACCATAAAATTTATCAAAAACGTATTTTTATTTAATATCATATTTATAAAGAGTCTGGGTATTAGAATAAGATTCTTGAAAACAAGGATTTCTTTCTTAGGTTTTCTTTGTATTCTGGTGCATTACAGACATACATAGTTCTTTTAATTAAATAAGTGAATGGCATATATTTAATTTCCATATTTCTAATTTCACATAAACCTTTAATAATATTTAAAAATGCTATGACATTAATGAAAGTAATTTCTTCCTGTAAAAGAATAATTCTAGAAAGGGGCTTGTATCAATATTCACCTCCTTTGCTTTTCCTTGCTTGAATGAAGAAGAGAAATCTTTTTGCTTTTCTCAAAATCTGATAGTGGAGCCTGTAATTCCAAACCAGTGCCAGTTTTTGGAGATTCAGAACTAGAATCAAGAGGGAAAATCACACAATAAAGAGATAGGCAATTCTAAGACTGCTCTAAGTACCAATATACTCATAAAAATATGCTTCTCAAAGTTTCTTGTACCAACAAAGGACTGGTATATATTTGTTAATTCATATGGCTTTATGATTTCAATTGAGGATGCTTTATTTCAAACAGTTTTTATCATATTGCCATAAACTCTATCACTGAAAAAAATCCCAAATATACAAATTCTGTTCATATCAATTGTGACAATTCCAAATCACATGATTCTATCTTATGGTGCATTATAACAGGAAAGATACAAAGGATTAAAAAGGCTAAGTTACACTATTCCATCTTGGTCAGCAGAGGGAAATTTCCAGTACTTAATAAAAAAAAATTTTCTGGCTCCAACATTTTTTATTTTTATTTTGTTTTGTTTGGGGGCCAAACCCAGTGATACTTAGAACTCTGCACTCAGGGATCATTCCTGATGGGGCTCAGGAGACTATGGGATGCTAGAGACTCAACCCAGGTCACCTGTGCACAAGGCAAGCATCCTACCTGCTGTACTATAGCTCTGGCTCCCTCTACCAATTAAAAAAAACTTCTATGCATATTTTGAATACTTAAAATAATATTTCCCGAAGAATCTTACAAAATAATAGTATTTCCTTATCCCATAAGCTATAATTTGATTTGAAGTTTTATTTTTACTTATAGTGGTAAAAACTACCACTTTGTTTTTGAAGACAACTAAATTTTAATCAGTAGATCTTTAAAAGCAGGTACAAATAATACCAAAAAATTTACAAAGCCTTCCAAACCCTATCTAACCTCTTATCCCACAGAAAACTTAATAAGTTTTTTTATGTTAAATGTTATATGAGGTCAAGGATGCAGGTATCTCCATACTGCTTCAATGAATGTATATTTGATTTAACCACATTTGTTAGTTGCCAAGTCTCTTTCTTGTTCAAAATTGTATATGGTCACATTTCCACAAACAGGTGATGGTTACAAGGTACAAATTCTGGAAGTGACAGACTCAAATTGTCACAGAGGTCCTCATTTAAATCTGTTTTTTCTATAATTTATTCTAAATTTCCTTAAATATCAGCCCAAATTGAAGGGAATAATTTATAGAAATGAAATTTTTCAAAACATATGATATAGTAATCAAAGGATATGACCTCTAGTTGTTCAAATGTCTATTTTGAATGCCAGTTCTAAAATCTCAGTGAAGTCAGAAGAAAAAATATCAGATGATCTTATCTGCCTCGGATATACAAAATAAACAGATACGGGAATGCCAGATATCAAGTGTGTGTAGGGGGTAGAGGGCACTTAGATGACCTTGACCCTGGATTCTAGAAATGAGGACAGGAAAGGAAATAAATCAGGAGCAAAGACGCGGCAGACAAGAGGCAACAGAGGCAGGAATCAGAGACCTTGGCCCCCCCATGGTGGTAGATGTATCTATCGAAATCACAGAGTCCTGCAAGTGTGATTCCTAAATAACAATAACCAAACTTAAAAATATGCCTGTTAAAGAGGTGTATGGGGAGGGGGTAAAGCTGGGGACACTGGTGGAGGGACCTGACACTGGAGTGGCTTGTTGCTGGGCAACGTTTGCATGAAGCTCAAACAAGAGTAATTTTCAAAACAACAGTGTTTCAAAGTAGACTACAGACCGAACATGACTGCCACTCAATGCCTCTTTTGCAAACCACAGCACCCAAAAGGAGAGAGAGAACAGAAGGGAATGCCCTGCCACAGAGGCAGAGTGGGATGGGGGGATGGGGGTGGGAGGGATGCTGGGACCCGTGGTGGTGGGAAATGGGCACTGGTGGAGGGATGGGTACTCAAACACTGTCTAATTGAAACCCAAGCACAAAAATTTGTAAGTCTACAACTGTACCTCATGGTGTTTCACTAATCACGGTCACAGTAACGGTCCTCCCGTTGTTCATCGATTTGCTCGAGCAGGCCCAGTAACGTCTCCATCGTGAGACTTCTTGTTACTGTGTTTGGCATATCGAGTACATCACGGGTAGCTTGCCAGGCTCTGCCGTGCGGGCAAGATACTCTCGGTAGCTTCCCGGGCTCTCCGAAAGGGGCAGAGGAATTTAACTCGGGTTGGCCATGTTGGCTGCATGCAAGGCAAACGCCCTACCGCTGTGCTATCGCTCAGCCCACAGCAGTAGGGCGTTTGCCTTGCAAGCGGCCAACATGGCCAACCCAAGTTTCACTAATAAAAATTTAAAAATAAAAAAAAATAAAAAATAAATGTTTCAATAAAAATTAATATAAAAAAATAAAATCTTCAAAAGACACTGTCCACTGTCACTGTCCTCCCATTGTTCATCGATTTCCTCAAGCGGGCCCAGTAACGTCTCCATTGTGAGACTTCTTGTTACTGTGTTTGGGATACTGAATACTCTCGGTAGCTTGCCAGGCTCTCCAAGAGGGGAGGAGGAATCGAACCTGGCTCGGCCAGGCTGGCTGTGCGCAAGGCAAATGCCCTACCACTGTGCTATCGCACCAGCGAAAAAATTAAAAAAATAAAAAATAAATGTTTCAATAAAAATATAATAAAATCTTCAAAAGAGACAAAAATATTTTATAAGGTATTATAAACAACTGTCAAGGAACCAGTTCACTGATTCAAAAACAGGCCTCAGGAGAAGCTTAGTGGCAACGGGTAAGAGCTGAAGTGTTGTTTAAATATTGGGAGATTATATAAAGGTTTCTGTTCAAAGAAAAACTCCAGTGTTTTTTTTTTAGTTTGGGGGTCACACTTGGTGGTGCTCAGAGCTTACTCATGACCCTTTACTCATATCACTCCTGGAAGGGTGCAGGAAGATACATGCAGTGCCACAGCCTGAATCCAGACTCAATTGTTTTTAAAAAGTTTGAATATATTATCTAGTTTTGATTAGCAGTAACCCAGACTCTAACGCATCCAGTGTTGGGGACTTTTATCTTGTAAGCTTACCTACTTCTCCATAGTACACTATGATTATTATTAAATTCTTCATAATAAGTTGAATGCTTCTATAATGTATTTCTGCTGTCCATACCCAGGATTTTGAAATGCAGAAAAAAAATTATATCCCTCTTCCATAAAGAAAACTTATTTTAAGTGTTCTATGCAATAAAGTGTTCATAATATTTACTATAATGTACTACCAAAAAATGCTATAATGAAAAAAAAACTAACCAAGTAAATAGATCAGTAGAAAAATGTCCCAGGTGGTCACTGCACGACTTCTGCAAGGGCAAACCAAGTTCTTCAAGGTTTAGAGAATTTTCATTCTTAACTGCAAGTTTTCAAATAGAGACCATTATCACTGGGAAGGATGACACTCATTCACATGGATTAGTCTTAATCAAGTCACACATATTAGTCAAAAGCAGTTGTCACTTTTTACTGAGTAGATTTTATAAAGCAGTACATATTTTTAAAAAGAAGATAATTTCAATCAGTGAAGCAGGAAACAGGCCACATTAGAAAGCAAAACTAAAATATTATTTTCCCAGGACATCCTCTTCCAGCCATATTTTAGTAACTTAAGAGATGGGTGTGCTGAAAACATATTCAATGGAGTTTCTTATTAAGTTCTATTAAGTTCTTATTTAAGGTAAATGTCAGTCAGTGATAGAGAGAGAAAATCTGAATCTTCAGTAGGCAGCTGTGATGTCAAAACATTGGCATCAAAACATGGGCTTGCTGGGCCTTTTTTTTTTTTTTTTTGGCAGCTGCTTAGCTGATGACTAGAAGCAAACAAGACTGTGACCAACAAGACAGGATGGGTCCTAGACAGGTGGCCATAACCACTGAGATCCAAACAAGAAGATGTAAAAAGGACTCTGGTCACCATGGCTAGTCATTTCCAGAAAAACTCTAAAAACCGCAGAGGCTGGGAGTCAATAAAATGTTTCAAAACAGACTCATGAATATTCCCTGAATATCTTAAAAGACTTTTAAGGGGAGATGGGCACCTTCCAGGGGTAGGGTGCAAACACTTTGTATGACACCATAAACATGAACACTATTGTAACCATGTTAAACTATAATAAAAACAAATATTGAAGGAGGTATGTACAGAACTACATGTGGAACGTGTTTGAAGAGGACACACATGACTTAGAAAAACCAGGAGTTGTTACTGACCAACAATGATTCCAGCAGAATTTAATTTAAAAATTGTAGCCTGTCCTTTCATAAGACATATTAAACTACTGTTAATTTGCTTACTTAGGTGCCAATGATATGAAAAAAACAATACAGGTGACGAGTTTAAAAATGTCAGGTCTAACTGAAGCACTGATACTAATAATCTAAGTCTAAAAATCTGAAATGGAAAGGAAAACCACTTTATTAATTTGAAGAAGTAAAATAATTTATAGGCAAGCACTTGGGAAAGCAGAAAGTACAAAAACGGGGTGGGGCACACCAAGTGCTGCTCAGAGCTCACTCCTGTCTCTGCACCCAGAAATCACTCCTGGCAGGACTTAGCAGGTGATATGGGAAGCCAGGAAGCTGAAGCCTGGTTGCTCGCAGGTAAGATAAGCACCCAACTCACTTCTTCCTTTCCAGCCTCTCAGTCCATTTTAATGACTAAGAAAAAAGGTAGACTACCAAAAGCAAAATCTCTGAATTTATCAGTGCATCGTACTCATCTCTGTGAGATATTTTATAAACCCTAACAAGTGAAAATTTCCCTTCAAAGATAGAGAACATGTTTTCCTTTGTTTTATTTATATTTACTTCTTTGGGCTATGATTAATACAGACATGTTCTTATTGTACACAGCATACACTATAATCTTTAGGAAGCAAAAAGAACAAATGTAAAACCAACTTAAAATTTTACAAATATAGCATGCTAAAAAGAATTTTAATTAAAATTTTCAAATCTTTGGAAATCTGTTTTCTACTCACCAGTATTTGAGAAATATGCTATCCAGTATTTCACCACAATATTTATTTTTTCCATGGTCATTGGTTCAGTTAAAGTAATATCAGCTCCATAACCTGAAACACAACCTAAGAATCTCTGTATTAAATATTGATCTTACTATTTCAACTTGGAAAAATGTAATCTAACCAGCAGGCACATACCTTTAAAATTTTCAGGGATTATAGAAACAAACAGCAATTGTGAATTTTTCATCTTGCCAAACCTGAAAGGAATAAAGTAAAAATGAAGAAAAATGTTCAATGGAAAAATTGCAATTTACCCATTCTGTTTTTTTAAGAACTATAGTATTTTCTTTATTTAGAATTTAAAATGGTGGCATTGGGCTTGAGTGATAGCACAGAGGGTAGGGCATTTGCCTTGCATGTGGATGACCCGGGTTCGATTCCCAGTATCCCATACGGTTCCCTAAGTACCACCAGGAGTAATTCCTGAGTGCATGAGCCAGGAGTAATGCCTATGCATCGCCAGGCATTACTAAATTTATGTGACCCAAAAAGCAAAAAATTAAAAAATTAAAATTAAATGGTGGGATAACATATAAATTTAGAGTAAACAGCATCTGAAATTAGTAAGTCAAAAGAGAACATTTATTCATACTTTTTTTTAAAGAGTTTAAATCTTATCCAAAGACTAGATATAGCCACCAATTTATAAGAAATTTAAGAGAGGACTATTTTAAACAACAGCATGAAAATTAAATCAGCAAAATCCAGAATACAGGAAATCCCATAAGAAAAATGACCCTTATTAAAAACACATGTATATAAAGACAATAACAGAGGGAAAATTAAACCCTGATTTCTATGACAACAACAACTTAGAAAGAAAATCATAAAATAAGCAGAATATTAGTTCCTTGGTTATTTTTAAAAGATACCATCTCTTATTTGGCACTCAACAAGGTTTCTACGACATGCTTTAAGCCCAACCACCAGTGAGCGGGAGGCAGAGAGGGCCAAGCCGAAACAAGCCTGCCTCAGACGGAGCTGGAGACGCACCATGGTGCACGGTGTCCATCATGCTCTCTGCTCTCCTTCACATGCCTCAGAATTCACAGAGCAATCTTGTGGCATTATTGTTCATTACATGTAAGAGTGAAGTAATTCTAAATTTCTAGTAATCTTATACATATAAGTATTGGAAATAGTTGCTTTTTTTTTTAAGGGACTTCTACAGCATTGTATTCCTGTAAACTGGACTTCAAAAAGAGCAGGTGAAAACTGCTTAAGAAAAAGAAGATTTTTTTTTTTTTTTGCTTTTTGGGTCACACCCAGCGATGCTCAGGGGTTACTCCTGGTTCTGCACTCAGGAATTACTCCTGGCGGTGCTCAGGGGACCATGTGGGATGCTGGGAATCAAACCCGGGTCAACCGCATGCAAGGCAAATGCCCTACCCGCTGTGCTATCACTCTAGCCCCAGAAAAAGATATTCTTAAGGTATTAGTATGCGGTGTATGTAAAATAAGAGAGAAAAAGATAACTGTTATAAGGTTATTGGTTTTCTGGGGAGGATAGCACTGTGGCACTGTCCTCCCATTGTTCATTGATTTGCTCGAGCGGGCCCAGTAACGTCTCCATTTGGCATATCGAATACGTCATGCATAGCTTGCCAGGCTTTGCTGTGCAGGTGAGATACTCTCGGTAGCTTGCCGGGCTGTCCGAGAGGGGCAGAGGAATCGAACTTGGGTCGGCCGGGTCAGCCTCTTGCAAGACAAACGCCTCACCTGCTGTGCTACGGCTGTGTGTAGAAAGCACAGCAGGCAGGGAGGACAGAGGCAGACAAATTGCTGTAGATAGTTAAAGAAGTGGGCAAATAAGTGTCCAGTGCTGTTGCAGAGAAGCCAAGGGACAGATGGGAGCAAATAGCTGGGTATCACCTGTTCTGGAGTCTCACAGTGTCCTCAGCAGAAATACCGAGAGGGTAACAAGAGCTAAGAGTGAGCTACAGGAAAGATGGGCTTGGGAGAAAGAAGCAAGACGAGCAATCAAGTACACTCCAGTGACACCCCAGATTAAGCCAAATGAAATACCTGAAATTTAACTGAAAAGGGGGAAATGGACACTAATAACCTGAGAAGTTATTATACTAATGATATAATATACTCAGAAGCTAATATACTCAGAAGTAACACAAGTCTTCGCATTTCAGAAAGACTCTTTGTGGCCTGCTGGCTTGGTGGAATGTAGCAAAGGGGACTGAGATCAAACTAGAATCATGCAGACAAGAGCTGACGTTCAAGAAAAGGAAACAGAGCACAGGACTTTCTTTAAAAAAAAAAAAATCAGAACTATGGACTAATTACTTCAAACAGGCAAGATGTTGCTAAACTGTGACGTCCACCCAGTTGGCGTCTAGTTAAACTTAATTCTGTTCAATGAATTCTGAGGAGTTTGGGCTGAAAGAGAAGAAAGGAAAGACAGTCTGGTTTCTAACAACCAAGCAGCTCAGGCAGAAACACTACCATCAAACAGGTAGAAAAGACGCTGACTGGATGGCTAAATGTGGTGGTAAATGCATGAGAATGAATCTGCTGAAAAACCTAGATAAGAGGATCTAGTGACTGAAAACTCCAGGCTACACGGAGTTGGAGAGGGTGACCTCCCCCGCATCTCCTGTCCCTTCCAGTTCCTGGCAGTCACAGCCAAGGACTGCCTCCAGGTGCCATTTAAGCGCATTACTGTCCATGATTCAGAGACTCACAAATGAATCTCAGATGAGAGCAGCACTCTGCAGAGATACCTCCAGATTCCAAATATTTAAAAATTTTAGAATTCCAGGAATGTGCAACCGCTTTTGCGGCCACACTACATTTCATACTATTCATAACAAGCAATAAAGGGTAAAGGCCCTCCCGTTGTTCATTGATTTGCTCGAGCGGGCCCAGTAACATCTCCATTGGAGATTTTTGTTGTTACTGTGTTTGGCATATCGAATACATCATGGGTGGCTTGCCAGACTCTGCCGTGCGGGCGAGATACTCTTGGTAGCTTGCCGGGCTCTCCGAGAGGGGCGGAGGAATCGAACTCGGCTCGGCCATGTTGGCTGCTTGTAAGGCGAACGCCCTACCCGCTGTGCTATTGCTCCAGCCCTAACAAGCAATACAAAATAAATTATTTAGTATCTGCCTGGACTGAGCGATAGCACAGCGGTAGGGCGTTTGCCTTGCACCCAGCCAACATGACTGACCCAAGTTCGATTCCTCCACCCCTCTTGGAGAGCCCGGCAAGCTACCGAGAGTATCTCGCCCGCACGGCAGAGCCTGGCAAGCTACCCATGATGTATTCGATATGCCAAACACAGTAACGAGTCTCACGATGGAGACGTTACTGGGCCAACACGAGCAAATCGATGAACAACGGGAGGACAGTGACAGTGACAGTATCTACCTATGGAGCAGGCTTGGGTGGTGGTGGGTTGGTGTTGAAATATTAAATGTAAACAAATATTGTGAACAGCTTTATGACAATAAATTTTCTTAAATGGAAAATAAATAAATGTGGTGGTAAGAAAAGCACATCAGTATAGTGGTGTGCTGTGGAGTGAGCAAGTGAAAAGTAGGCAACTGCCACACTGCAAGCATTTCATTCATATATACAGTTATATTGTTGTTGTTTGTTCAATTTCAGGGATTGAATCTGGGTTGGTCCATACACACCAAGTACCTTTACCCACTACAGATATGGGCCCCCACATATATATTTTTAAGTGATGAAAGAGTGCGGGATATAATGGAAGTATGGATAACAAGAGGAGGAAAGAAAGGTGGAAGAAAGTGAGTGGACAGGCCCACTGAAAGAAATATTTTTTTTTAAATTGAAAAATACTGTGGGGGCCAGAGTAATAATATAGCGGGTAGGTTACTTGCCCTTCCATGGACAAGTCAGGTTCAATACCTGGCACCATACAGAGTTTCCCAAGTACAACCAGAAGTGATCCCTGAGCATTGAGTCTGGAGGAATTACTAAGCACAGCCAGGTGTGACCCAAAAACAATCCCCGTTTAAAAAAAAGGGTGGATTCACAAAATGTAGTAAGTTAAAATACTCTAAACATTAGAGAAATTTTAAAAATCCTCTGATTTTACAAATAATTTTATTTTTTAAATGGCTTGAATTGATTTGTCAAAAATGGATAATATCTGAAAAACTGATCAGTATATCAGTATATCAAATTTCAACCTTTACCTCAGACAGAACTCAAATTACTGGATTTTTATCTTAAACACAAACTTAATTATCAATCCAAATACTTTGTCTTCTGGTGAACCCTAACTGTACAGGAATTCCAACAATCAATTTAAGCAGCTGTCTGATTTCCATGATCACAAAAAAGAAAGAAAGAAAAGAAGACAAAAAAAAAAGTCTCCCTTAGTTTTCCTTTGTGACACTAAGCGACACAAAAACAAAACCACCTCCTTTACTCAGTCCAATTAATACTTAACATACCAAAATCAAATTGCAGGTTTTAAGACCTTGAGTATCATCTCAATTGAAGTCTCTTCAGTTATAAAGCTTGACAATTCTCTGGAAACAGAGAAAAGATTTCTCCTCACATTTTACAGAAAACACTGAATGCACGTGTCCCTGAAAATACGAGTGTTCGGGGCCAGAGGAATAGTACAGCAGGTAGGGTGCTTGCCTTGTGTGTGGCCAACACAGGTTCGATCCCCAGCCCTCCCCTAAGTATTGCCAGGAGTGATCTGTAAGTGCAGAGCCAGGAGTGACCCCCGAGCACCACCAAGTGTGGCCCCAAAACAAAGCAATCAAAGAAAATATGAAGGTTCCCAACTTTACTCCACATAGGAGAGAGGAGACTCACCGCCCCCATCTGTCTCCTGTGCTCTCTGGAAGTGGAGGCAGCCAGAAGCTCGCTGTGGCTGCACCCCTCTCCAGCCCTGTCCCAGTCTGGAGTCTGGTCTCTAGTAGTTGGAACAAATATAGAAGTGCTTGGGGCTAAGCGCTATATTCTACTGACCTAAGAACCTTAGGAAAGCCCTGCCCTTAAAAAGCTATCGTCATCTAATTAGACAAATAAAGATTTGTGTAAAGGTAAAGGTAAAGGCCCTCCCATTGCTCATCGATTTGCTCGAGCGGGCCCAGTAACGTCTCCATTGGAGACTTTGTTGTTACTGTGTCTGGCATATCGAATACGTCATGGGGAGCTTGCCAGGCTCTGCCGTGCAGGCGAGATACTCTCGGTAGC